CAAGACTATGCTTCTGGCCTCCTGCCTGGGCCGCCCCGACGCCTTCCTCTTGCGTGGGCGCCGCCTGCAGCAGAGTGCGCTGCCTCGTGCCAAGAGGGAGATGTCGCCGCGATGGGCTGGAGGCCGCATCTGCAGGCGGGCGCCCCAACTGGGGGCGGTAGGGCGCACGGCCGCATCGGGATTGCGGTGGGCAAGAGCTTGTATTTCAAGCGATTCCTGTCCCATATAGGCAATGTCACCGATATCGGTTCGGGCCCTGGATGGATGTGTGTAGAGCTCTGAAAAGCAACCAGAAAGCGGCGATGGCTGCCAGGGTCTGTCATTTCGTCTCGCGCCGGGAAATCGCGGGGGAAGGCTTGTCCACGATGCGGGGCGTCGCCGGGTTCGTTCGCGCCCTTGGGATTCCCTGGGCGATGGTCGGGGCATTCAACATTGATGTCGAAACGACGCGACTCACTGGATATCCCCTGTCTGTGCACGCGCGAGCGATGGCACCAGTAGGGGTGGACTTCGCATGCCCGCAGGGCCGGCCCCCTACGTGCCAGATGGAGCCCGTGAGCCCTCGCCATTCAAAGCGCGCGCGCGCCTGTCAGTCCGCACTGCGCGCCGCGCCTTGGTTCAGAAGTTGCGTCGGCGAGTGCTGTGTCCACGCGGCGTTCCTGCCCGCTACGGGCCTGGCCCCCCGCGTCGGCGCTACCTTCTTCAGGGGGTGAGTTCGGCAGACGCAGGGCTGAAGACGGAGCGCCCTTTGCCGTTGGCGCGCCTTGTTCCTCGCGCGACGGCGCGCTTGAATGACCGGGCTTCTGTGCAGTGCTCTCTGTGGTCACGCGCCACCGAGCGCGCGTTCCTCTCTCGTGCTTGCGCCGCTGCCCATGGCGATTATGAGGGTGAGTTTTTTTTTTTTGGGGGGGGGTGTTGCTCTACATCTGGTCACGTCCAGCATCGCTCATAGGGGCCGAGTGGGAACCGCCTCTCGGAATCCGACTCTTGCGTTCTGGTCGCTTCGCGCTGTTCTTCCACGCGGCTCCGCCGAGTGCCGCGTCCACGGCCTGATCGTGGAGATGGTCTCTCGGGTTGGCGAGTTCCCGTCCGTCTCGCCTTCTGCTCAGCCTGCCCCTCGGCGGGCCGATCGTGTCACCGATCGTGCTTTGGTGGATCGCCTTTTTGAGATCATCACTGAGGTTTTGAAAGGGGCCTGGGCTGATGTTCAGGCGGCCGCCAGGAAGGGCCAGATGGACTGGCTCACCCGCGCCATCCCCCATGGGGCTCGAGGGGTCCATTCCTGACTTGAACGTGACAATCAGAATATTGTTGAGTTGTTCAAGTCCCCCGATGGCGTGAAACTGTTGCCCGAGGACATGATGGGCCG